TTTAATCATTCGTAAGCAATGTGCAATTTACGTGTCGCAAGTAGGAAAGAAATCTAATTCACCAATAATTTAACTTGATTGTTTACAGGTATTTTCGTAGTAGAAATGGTTGCAATCAGACCAGAATTGATCCCGAATTATTTTCGTGAAATGCATTCGTATTTTGTATTCACATTCGTATAAATTCAACGTAACACGCCAAACGGTAGTTTGTACAATAAAATATAATAACTTGTCGAATTACGTTGTGTTATTCTTACAATATTTAATCCAGAACAAATTGCGTACATTTGTGGTCGTTTATCGGATTATGTATCTATAACGATTCTCTATAAACACGTCCTGCATCATCACACGAGAGCTTCGACATCGCAAAATATATTAAGGCACGAGCGTTATTGAATAGGTTGTTAAATTTCGAGCACAAAGGTGTATTACGCATTTTGAGAGAATACATGTGTTATTTTACATAAAATTTACTGTATGCGAAATGTACAAGAAATTAATTAATATGTAGTTTTTTATTATATATAATTATACAGAAATTATACGACAGAGTTTTAGATGCATAATCACACGCTGTACTCTTAAAATGCAACACTTTTGTATATGTATATATATATATATATATATATGTATATATGTGTGAATTTTAATATTGAGATTCTTTTTTTTTTTCGAGATACATAATGTGTATCTCGAAAGATACTTTGTAAAATATAATGCAAAATTAATTTAATCTCCTTAAAGTAAAAAATATCTATGATTACATGGCTTGAAGTGAATTTGAAGCACGTTGCTTTTTCGAAGGGTGAAATCTAGTATAATACACTATCATTGCTATAATTCCTAGCAAAAAGGAAACGATACAAATAATAAAGAATACATTAAAATACCAAGCCTCTCTAACTTCAGGAGAACAGGTGTATCTCCACAATAGACATGAAATAATATTTTCTGCAAAACAGAGCATATAGAAACATAGATGTTTCCAAAATGTATTGCTATCTACAGTATTTAAATATATGAAAATGTAAACTATGCCAATAACTATGGCAAATAAGCTAGAATAAATGCGTTCTTTAAATGTTGGCAACATATGTGGTGGACGATCGTAAGCCCGGCAAAATTCTAATATCCCATGGGAATTAATCAAAATCCATATTGTCATGATTACCCAATGTATTAAACAACCGATTATGGTATATAAAGGCCAGACGCTTGCAATAACACTGAGAGACAAGATTCTTGCCACTGTAATCATGATAATCAGTTATAATTAATGATTTTTTTCTCAATACTTATCTCTAATACTTATACTAATTGGAATATCATTTCATCTGTTGATTGTTGAATATGTACCTGTGATGCTAAAGTGCCACAGAAATTGTAACACAGTTCCTATAACACCAATATTCAATTTATTTTGTTGAGCTAATCGAATGCTACGATGGTAACTGGCCATTGCCCAACCCATACTTGCAAGCGAACTGACAATACTAGCTACTTGATGTACAACTGAAAAATAATATAAAAAACACATTAAAAGAATCGCTTGATAATATCGATCTATTACAGTACGTTTGCAATGTATAAATAGAAATTTTTGACTTAATCCAAAATGGTTGAAAAAGCTAAAATTGTTTGACAACAAATTGGAATAACTAGGTACTACTCTTTAAAGTAATTTTTTTCTTCATTGTCAATTGTGCTAATTTTTGTAGTAGCTTTGCAAATATATGTGAGATCGATCGGACATAAATATATTCCACAAGGTATAGATATACATTCAAAATTAATTTCATTGTGATAATGCTTTAGCATCAGAGTTAGCTGTAAAATTTGTTGTGGTGCAGCTTCCAAAAAACATTCAAATACTCTTAATAAGGCAACATCTTGATCCTCTTGGAGCATTCTTAGATAATATCTCCTTTCATTGACACGATCTTCGGATTTTTTGCATTTACGTGCTTTTAATGCACACTTCAGGGTTTCCCAGTAATGTATAACTGGCGCCAATTGCAAGAAAACAGCGATCATACAATACAATCCATTTTTAATCAACAAATGTGTTGTTTTATAATTGTTTGGTGTACTGGTACTTGTCTATATCAAGGAACATACTTATATTATGTACACACACACACACACACATATATATATATATACACTCAAAATCTACGACGTTAACCGAGTTAAACTTAGTATAGCTATATGTAATACTTTACTTGTTTATCTTGAAGCTGCATCCTCCTGCTAATAACAACATTGATCAGAGAGGGAATGAGTATGAGGCACATTGTCCAAGCAAAATACGTTACTTTGCCACCTAGGTAATATTGGATGGCGATGTTATAATCGAAACCCATGTCGACAACATGCATTATTATGGAGCAAGCCAGCAAGAAGACATCTAGTCTGGAGATGCGAGGGGTGTCTGTCGGCAGGTCAGTGATGTCAACGTCGAAATGGATACCTGGAAACACGCTGGCGAGATGGAAAAGACGACGTTCGCAATTTCTCTCCTCCATAGCTTTCTCTCCTTACGGTCCTTACTTTCCAATCCGTCTACTTTCTCCCCAAACTCTTTGTTCGGGACTTGGGACTCGGGACCAAGTGCAAAGTGTACGTTGCAACGTGAGTTGGCATTCGCCCACACTGCAGCGTCCCTCGCAAAGCTCACACATCAATTCATGTGAATTGACGAATGTCAACAAACAATTCACATCACATAAATCACATTTCTCGGTACTCCCCCCGCGCCTTGCACAGATGTTGGCTGCTACGACGAACGATAAAATATCGACTCTCGACAAGAATCGAGATGCTTGTGGCGACGCGTAGTGGTGAAAAACATAACTGTCGAGCGACCTTCTCTTTACTCCTGCAGATAATTGTAGACAATTCAGATAAAAGCAGGACAGTTGATAATTTTCTCTTAGGATAAACAATTTGAGATATAACATTAAAAGTATACGTATCTATATTTATACAGCATTTACATAACAAAAAAATTACGAATTTATAATCACGAAACTTTGCCCATTGGAGCGACCGTCTTTAGGGTATATCCACACAACTTGCATAGCCGCATAAACGTATGCATAAAGAAAATTATCCAACCGCATTTCTCTTACGCACGTAAAATGTGATTGGACAATTTTCTTTATACATACGTTTATGTGGCTATGCAAGTGTGTGGATATTATCTCGTCGGTTAGGTCAGCAGCACTGTCAGCGCTGTCAGCAGGGACAGTTGCGACAGTCCGGACAGTAGATGACGCGTCGACGGTCGACGTCGTTGTTGGTCGTTGTGTCGTATCGTGTCGTGTCGGGTCGTAGGTTGTGGTTAGTGGTCATATCATACAGTCGTCTGTAACATAATAGTAGACGTTATACGTTGTCGTCTTGCGAGTTGCGAATCGCGCAAAACTGCGCGAGAGGCGTGATGCGCAAAAAGTGTAATCGATGTGATGTTTTGCGAGGGATATAACGAGGTGGGTGGTGAGATTTCTTTTTTTTTTCTCAATCGATCTGTCGGGTTTCTTGGATCCTAAAATTTCCTTGATTTAACATTAAGTACGTCGCAGTATTACAGTACAGTACAGCCAGCACAGGCGGATTCGGACCCGTGCAGACCTGTTGGCGAGGTTGCGATTATTTTGCTAAATTCCCTCCCCTGCAATTTATTTCCTACAATATCGTAATCAATCGTAATGACGTTTGATCGATGTTTGACAACGACATTTATTTATTGCGTCATATTTCGTGCCGTGATTTCTTTATTTGCAGACACCATCCTGGGTAAACATGGTTATGCAAAGCAGAATCTGCATGCTGGCCGTTTTACACACCCACATTTTTCGTCTTCTCTACTCTTTATACTTAATTTTTTCGCCTTTTAGAATTATCTACAGTTCCTCCAGATTTCATTCTTTTCCATTTACGTTTCTTACTTCATCTATATTTTATCTACAATTTCTTGTATCTTTTTCATTTACTGATTTTTATTTGTTTAATAAACTATATACCTGAAACAACACACACACAGCGCGCGCGCGCACGCACACACACACACACACACACCATTGAAGTATATTTTATGAAGAAAACAATAAGATCTAAAAATAATTTATCCATATCTCTTTATTCGGAATCTTTATTACTTATTAATTATTATTTGTTAAGACTAATTAAAACTTTATGCTTGGATAAACAGACTTTGGAATTTCTATTTTATTCCATCAAAATGTAAATCATTAATCAAAAAAACAATAGCTTGCCTAAAGTATTTCTTTAATTAAAAACAATTTAATAATTATAATTTTCTTCTTTATTTAGATTTTTATATAATTTTTTTTTCTATTGTCCTATAGAATGCCGATACAGGCACCACAGTGGACTGAATTCCTGTCATGTCCAATCTGTTGCCATGACTTTGACGTGGCTATACGAGGTCCCATATCACTCGGCTGTGGCCACACCATATGTCGTGCTTGCTTGGCCAATTTACATCGCAAGCAATGTCCTTTCGATCAGGTAGTAATATAGGTATTTTAGTGTAATATTACATTACTCAACAAGAAATAGTTAACACTTTCAAAATGCTCAAAATTACACAATTTTCAGATTGTTGTCAAAACTCTGTGAAAAGTCACTGTAGACAATCACTGTAGATTTTTTTTAACAGCAAAACTTCTTTTTAACTTTTAGCATTTTCCAAAAAAATGTTTATTTTTACAGTTCTATATCTTAGCAAAGATCATATTATTACGTTCTTTAAAATTACATACATTTAACAGTCTGCAACTTAATAAAAAATGTTCTTCAAAAAATTTAATACTTTTATAAAAAAAATATAAAAGGTATTAAAAAGAGTTTTAAATGCTTTTCTACAAATTTTTTTATAATTTTTCTTCATCGAATTTTGAAGCAACTTTGAAGCTAAATTTACATTTCTTATAAATTAATGTTGAAATTTGATGAAAAATTATCGTGAAAATTTTTTACCTCCCCAATTTACAGAATTAAGTTTAAAACCTATCAAAAGCATGTTCAAGTACAAATTCAGAGCCTCAAAATACTTTTTTAATTCTTGATCTAAAAATAGGGCAATTTTGAAAGTGCTTTTCCCCATTTTTCGTTGAGTAGTATAATACACGCGCGCGCGCGCGCGCGCACGCACACACACACACACACACACACACACACATGTATATCTCTATATACGCGTGCATGCACATATGTATATGTACACATAGTATATTTGTATGTATAGCATACATATGTACATTGCTAATAATTCTATAAACAGTTCTTTATTTTATTTGTCTTCACAGAGCATTATCAACACCGACATTGAAAAATTACCCGTAAATGAGGCACTGTTACAATTGCTGGGCAATCCAATTCCCATCGTTGCTTCATCAACATCTGCATCGAATCAACAGCAGAATTATCAGAAGCTTCTGCCAGCCGACCAACATGTTAATTACCTGAGAGCTAAGAATTGCATTGAAGAACTTGCTCTTTATCTTAAACCATGTCAAATTAGTAATACTGCAGGTATGCAGTATGCAAAATTTTGAAATATCAAATATAAATAACCATTAAAAGATAACAAAAATTATTAAAGTTTATCGTGTAAGGAATATACATGCAATAAGCAATTAAACAATGTTATATGTTGTATTACAAATACAATAATACTATATTATAATAAATTTTGTTAAGATTATTTTATTTTATTACATATACGAATTATATAATATTTTAAAATATATATGATGTCTAATATACACACAAGCACACGCACCCATATGAATTGTTGCCATATTTACTTGTGTGATATGAATTATATTTGTTTGTTACATAGGCATCGGAAGCGGAGGTGGAGGACTGGTATCACGACCCATGCAACGTAAATTGGTGACGTTATTAGGTTGTCAATTAGTCGAACCAGAAGGTAGAGCACGTGCATTGCGTGCTGCTCGTAGTCTTGGTGAGCGCACTGTCACAGAGCTTATACTACAGCACCAGAATCCTCAACAACTCAGCGCTAATCTTTGGGCGGCCGTGCGTGCCCGTGGTTGTCAATTTCTTGGACCAGGTAAATTTTATTTACACAAGATAATTATGCAATTTGAATAAGCTGTATCTTTCAATGTAAATAATAAAAGAAGAAAAAAAAATATATATATATATAATGTGGCATTATTTTCTTTGCAACTGTAGTAATGGGTGATAGAACTACAATAAAGTGTTTGTTTTGCATGCTCACATACATTGTAAGCATTATTTCAGCCTCGTTGTCTGCTAAATATTAAACAAGGACAAATGATGCTTACAAGCACTGAACGCTAAAGGGAATGCACCTATAAATTGCATTCTTTTTAAATATCATTTTTCTATAGTTATTCTGCATATAGAAGAAATAAAGCCTTAAAGGAATGTAATAACTTATAATATGTATGCTCGTATATTATGTATTACATTTATCTTGAATAACTTATTTCTATAATTGTCTTTGTATTTTTGTTACTGTCATTTTTAGCGATGCAAGAGGAAGTTCTCAAACTTGTGCTATTGGCTTTGGAGGATGGCTCTGCTCTATCGCGTAAAGTATTAGTGATGTTTGTAGTACAGCGTCTGGAACCACATTTTCCTCAAGCTAGTAAGACCAGCATTGGACATGTGGTGCAGCTTCTATATCGAGCGAGTTGTTTTAAGGTAAATATGCGGTGGTTCATAAAAGGATTTAAATGCTTGTAATATAACATTGTATAGAAATTTTTTGACTATACAATTATGTATACAATTATGTATACAATTATGTATACAATTATGTATATTAAATATATTATTATCGTTTTCTGTCATAATGCACGTTTTTAGGTATCAAAGCGCGAGGGTGACTCATCTCTAATGCAATTAAAGGAAGAGTTCCGTACTTATGAAGCTCTAAGACGGGAGCATGATGCACAGATTGTACAGATTGCCACCGAGGCAGGCTTGCGTATTGCGCCTGATCAATGGTCAGCGTTGCTCTATGGCGATACTGCTCACAAGTCTCACATGCAAAGCATCATTGATAAATTGCAGACACCACAATCGTTTGCCCAGAGTGTCCAGGAGCTTGTGATAGCGTTGCAACGTACACCAGATCCTGGACAACTGAGCGGTCTCAGGCCACAGTTGGAATTATTAGCTGCCATCGATCCCAGTCCAGGTATGTAGGTCCCGGACCATATGTAAAATTATATTCTGTATAAATTCTCTTAAAACTTTTATAACTATTAAAGTTCTTCGGACTGTGTACGAACTCTTAGAATCTTGAATGTATCATTATCAATAAGTATTTTTTACTTAGTTAAATAAGTATATTTTTATTATTTTTAGAGACAGAGCCACCAAGCTTGGCCGAATGTCGAGCGGCTCTAGAAGCCGTGAGAATAGTAGTGGCTACGTTAGTGGACTTTGTTCGACAACATGGAAACAATGGCACATGCGGTAACAATCGGAAATCAGTGGCGCAGGATAGTGGAGGTAATGGTCCCGTCGGGAGCTCGTGTTCAGGTTCAGCGACCAGCAAATACAAAGTCAGTATGTGCAGAGATTTAGCCTTGCGCGGCACTTGCCCACGATCCAACAATTGTACCTTTGCTCACAGCGACACCGAGCTTGATAAGTAAGTTTATTTATTTGATACAATTATTCATTTTATTTTCTATCTGATACCAATTTTTAAGAAAATTATTAAAGAATATTGAAGAAAAGAAATCTCGACATTAAAAAATAATGGATAGAAAATAGTAATTTTTATTATCAATTACTATTTTTTGATAATATCTCAAATGAGATTATTTGGCTATACGTAACTATTTTACTGCTACAATGATTTGCAGAATCTAGACACATGCAATTCTTTCCAAATAGATTTTTCACATGAAAAATTAGTTCTTTTTTTCTATACAGGTACAGATCAAAAAATCGTAAATTGAGTGTCAGAGCAAATTCAAATCAGACGGAATCGAAGGGTGAGAAGAGTAACAAGATTTTCAATAAGCAAAACGGTGATTTAACGACTTATCATTCCGTAAAAGCACACGACAGGGATAGTGAGTATAGTGGATATTTATATTTAATATGATGTGGATGTGTGATAGATAAAAATATTATACTAATTACAAATAAGATGTCTCTTTCAGAACAACTCTGATTTGATAATTGTTTTGTATTCTTAATAGTAGTAAAGAAAATTACTTAAATGTTCAAGTGAAACACCCTTTATACAATATATTTAAATAAAACAATCATCTCTATTATTCTATCATTTTATCTTAATTATTACAGCAGTGGTGCAACATTCAACGCCTATCTCGACCAATTTGGAAAATAATTTGATTGACTCATTGACATCGACCTACGTTTTGCCGCTTACACCCCCACAAAACTTGCCGCATCTTAGTCTGTGCTCTGTAAAGGGAGGAACTATGTTGGATAGTGGAGGATCTCCTGGTGTTCATTGTTCTGGGCATTACATAATGCCACCAGGATCTGTTCCCACAGTCGATTATGGACCTTCCTTGACAACTACGACAAACCTCGGAGTGTGGGATACCCCACAAATTGTACCAGCAAATCAAGTAACAAACGACAAAAAAGTTTAAGAGAAAATAGCTTGCTTTCTTATAATCAGTAATTTGCCAGAATTTTAAAGGGATAAATTCGTTTAATAGCAATAAAACCAGATTTGTTAGAGTAATCCTTTTAGTGAATAATATTTATATATTATATTTTTTATTAATGTGACTGACAAATTGATCGTAACGATAGAACTGACAAATTGATTGAACGAATTTTAACATAATTTCAATAATGATAATAACAATGAAATAATCGCTTTGCAACAGCGAACGGCAATGGGAAAAACTATGTTGGCGATGTTATTGCAACGCAAAATGGAGATCTTAAATCAGTTGGAAATAATTGTTGGCAAACAGCAGCAGCAACAACTAATATCAACGCAAATAAAAACGGTAAACATATATCCTGATCATATTATGTTTCTTTATGTTCGAACAACTTTATCATATTTTATTATTGTTTTGTGCGCGCGTGCGTGTGTATAATTTATTTAATATATTCTATATTTTATATATTTTCCCTTAGAATTACGATCTTCAGCAAGAGAGTGATTTATTGTCTGCACCCAACAATTACTCGATATGGACCGCTGCGAATAACTTTCGCTGTACATCCGGGACGGATCCATCGCCGCCGCCACCACCTTCATCTGCCACCACTTCGCATCTACTCGACGATGACGGTCCCTTTATGTCTCCATTAGACGTATCTCCAGCAACCTCTTTGCCATCAGTTAGCAAACAGGCACCCATCTCAAGATTATCTAAAACTCTGATAAGGTGATAATAAATAATATATATGTAGATATTATATCGATGTAATTGTATATCTGTACATGTATAATTTTAATAACTTTTATAATTGCTTAACTTAAAAAATTGAATATGATCTATTATTTAATAGTAATAAAGTAATGATAATAGATCTCCCTACAACGGAACTCTGCAACATCTCTACAACGAGGAGGTCGATCCTACTCCTATCCCCACACTGTCTACTGCATTCAGAACTCCAAACTCTGTAACCTCTTGGTATTATGGCAGTCAACGTGAGTACGAAATATTATTTCTAGCGATCAGAGTATGTCGACAGAAATAATAATACGTAAATCACTGTATACATTCAATGCATCATATACTAGAAATTTTAAGAATTTTATTCACGAATAACTTTTCCTATATCAATAATATACATAAGTAGATTTTTAATATAATTTTTTTTCTTCAAATGTTTGTGTTTTTCAAGAATTTTCTTATAGATAAAATGTTTATGTATGCGATAGTTGTTAAAAATAGTTGTTAAATTGATATTAATTACATATTATTGCAGCATATGCAACAGTTGGCATGAATGGAATACAGTCAATGACGCCAACGAGCCCTGGTAGTGGTGATGGTGACAGCGATTTCATCAGTGATAATTACGTCGCACTCGGCCGCAATATCATTGCACCAGAATCATTATCACAATTCTCGAGATCGGAGTATATGTCAAAAGAGTGAGTGATATGTGTAGTTGTATTTTTTATTTATAACTTTCTCTTATCTTTGTTAATGGTAAAAAAGAAAACAGATATATGTTTATTATGTATATTATATGTTATGTACACATTGCAGTTTGATTTTGGAATCACAGAAAGTAAAGCAGCAACTCAGACATCTTGAAAAGAAAATCAATGACTTAAAGGTAATGCATCACGTTTTGAATTTTGAAAAATGCAAAAAGCATTGTTTAATTCATGTCCTGCATGTTTAGTTGGCTACGCAAGGAGCTACTACTTTCGTCACAGCAGGCGAACGATTGACGCAAGAATTGCGAATGATCGAGGCGGGCATCAGAGAAAGGGAGAGAGATGTACGAAATTGGAGCAATCCATACGGTGGTAGTACTGGTACTACCACTATTCCTTGGATTCAGCAATCCACTAATGATTGGCTCTCAAATCAAGAATATAATACGGATTACAAAACTGAGGAGGTAGGCCGTACTATTTTATGCCATTTTTTATTTTGTAATTAATTTCCATAATTTATAACTCCATATTTTTGTGTAACGAACACACAGGAAAATTGTATTTTTATTGGGGATTTTATTTCAAGTGCTAATTTCACTATATCTTTTTTTATTTATATGATAAATAAAATTATACAAATATTCGAAATATAATAAAAATTCAAATTTAATATGATCGTAAGCAAGAATTATCGATTTATCCATTAACTGATTAATCAATGTGTGCACAGGAAGATACATACGAGGCTGGGATAGCAAATGATATGCGCGAGCTAGAACTGCGATGGGAATTTGAGCTGCGCGAGCAGGAAAAACATTGGTCCAGTGGAGGTGAGAAGGATCCTATCACTACCACTACCTCCATGAATAAATAATAGGATATCTCCCTTCTTTTTCCCTCTTTAGCTCTGTTTTCCTTTCTCGTCCATCTTTCGGGAAACATGTATTTTTACATGGCAAAATCAATCTTCGATTCTATCTTCTCTAATTAATATTGATCGAGGATAAGTAAAATTCCTTTAATCCATGAAAGTCGGGAAATACATACAACAGTAATCGCAGACGTGCGGGGACCTAAATCTTGAGCATTTTTCCACGTTGATAATTAGAATATGACGCGATAAAAATTGTACGATTTTAATTCTGAATAATAATTTATCAATGGCATTGAGTTGTCGACTGTTGAAAGTAAGCAACAATTGTACCACTTGGGGTAGATGATTATAATTACGTAAACTTCGTGAAAAATGTCAGACTTGAAATAATTCGTATCGTTTACGTAATTAATTTCCAAATTAGCAATCTTCTCGATTGATCTCTTAAACTGACCTGTTATCTCTTTTTAATTAAAAAAAGAGATAAATGATACTGTAAAATTTTTACGAAAGATATATATTTATTTTTACGGGATTTGTTAAAATTTAGCTTAATACGCGGTCAGTGTTTTATAAACAATGACTTCGCGAAATATGTGGGCGCGAGGAATGTATTAATTAACATATTTAATTATATGCAGATTTCGTATATTCTACTGATGATACGATATCATATATACATATAATGAATACACACACATTCGAAAAGAATGCTGATTGCGCTTGACCTGATCGATAAGGTTAGACTCTGATGATAATAACAACACGTTATTACATTATATGCTTATACATATATTGTAGATACATGTGCTAAAAAAGAAATCGCGTTCCTTTTGAAGGACGCTATATTTATAGAATTTCTATATTCCGAAGACGGAAAGGAAAACGAAACTGCTACCTCGGCTTGACGATGGTATCCTTTATAGTATCTTGTTTTACTAAATTTGTTTTCGAAAGATAATCAAAATTTTCTTTTCAAGAATTATAATTCTGATCTTCCTTGTGCCGAAAGCGCATGAAAAGAAACGTCATGCTTATGTTTAATTAATAAAATTCGATGTTTAATAAATTATTGTAATAAAATTAATCTGTATTAAATTTTCGTGTTGCGCATAAATGTTATTATGTTACCTGCAATAATATGTAACATAATAACTCTTACATTGATTATTAAGATTAACATCAATTTTATTAATTACATGAATTATCAAAATTCTGTTAAGAATTTGTATTTCGAAAAAGTGGAGACTTTTGAGGGCCGTCTCGAGAGAGGAGAGTCCAGTTATCCTTTTTAGAAAATCGTTGCAATAGCAATTTGAAATCGACTCTTTTTTTTCTATTTTTACGGAATAACAAAGAGCGATGAAAATAATTCCAGTTTTAGTGGAAGCAAGATTTTTTTTTTTATATATATAGACGGGATCTCGTCGATTCCATTTTATAAATCCTCAGGAGGACATACACATATACATTATACATACGAACAAATTTCTTTTTTCAATGTGACACACACACACACACGCACACGCACGCACACAGAAAGAGGGGGGGTTATTATATATGTGTGTGTGTGTATGTGTGTATATATAAACATATAATTACATCTGATGTTAAATTAATGCGTTTCTTTTTTTAGTACTGTGTATAATTGAAAATAACTCATATAAGAGCAATAGAGATGGATTAAGTTGTTTCTAATTTAATTGGATTGTTATATATTTAATTTTTTTTTTTTTTTTTTTTTTTTTTTTTTTTTTTTTTTTTTAAGAAGATATTAATAAATTAACTTCGTCTCAATTTTTGTGCAATCGAAATTTATTTTTTTACATGTTTTACATCTAAAAATTTTTGGAGATTGTTTAAAACAAATTTTTTAGAGTAGTTAATAAAAATTAAAAACCTCTATAACGCATTGATTTCTTTGCAATTTTGTACAATTAGCCACTACATTGTTTTACATGATTTTTTATTTCTTGTGAAAATGAAATTCGAAATAAATTATTAAACAAGAAAAAAAAATCAGCGCATTAATTGTTTTTCAACTTTGTAAGTTATTTCAAGTTTTCTCAGAATTTTTCTTTGGAATACATACTTAATCATTTTATGTAGTATATCCGCAGTAATTATTTTGAAAAAATTTGTTTTAAAAAAACGCTATGAGATAAAGAAAAAAAATTTTATTCGCAATTTAATCGATACTATTTTGTTATTCATTAAATTTTTATTATTTGACTTACAATTTATTATTGATATTGTTAATTTTTGTCGAGATTTAAATCATTAAGATTATGTATGACTACGATATAATATAATCATGCAAAATTAATGGAAAAGTATCAATCGGCGTAGATTCTCTGTAGCTAGCCTAGATACATATATTTAGTGCAATTTTATTCGTTTTTGTTTGTTATTATGTATAATAATGATAATAATAATTGCGATAAAATGTTTATGTTATATGAGTTTATAAATTTTGTATGTGCGCGTGTATGTACTTTTTTCACCGATTTTCGTGCAATATATGTATAATAATTACAATACATAACATTAGCACTGTTTTAAAAAGCACTTGAGATTTTTTCTTTAATGAGAAGTAAAACGTTATTCTTTTAAGTATTTTTCCAATTACTTTCTTTAATAACAAAAATTAATGGAAATATTTATGATAATGTGTTAATTATCTAAAAAATATTTATATTTAAAACAATAGTATTTTAGCAATTAATGTTTTCATGATTAAGAAAATTAATTCTGCATACTTTTTGAAAGATCTCTTTTAATCTCTTTCAATTAAGGAAAAAATTTTACGTTTATTAGGGAAATAAATTCTCAATGTACATGCAAAATTTTTATATACACACGCGCGCGCGTACACGTATGTACAATTATAAAATTGTGTGTGTGTGTGTGTGTGTGTGTGTGTGTGTGTGTGTGTGTGTGTGTGTGTGTGAGAGAGAGAGAGAGAGTGCGCGCGCGCGCGTGTGTAAAAAGCTTAAAGTACACACACACACACACACACACACACAGCGAGATGCTTCAGCGAGGACTATCTGTTATATATTGAACCTAGCCACACAACCGAAATTGTTTTCTCTTTTTTATTATTACTTTCGTTATATGCAAAGTATTAGTAATTTAAAAAAGGAAGTAAAAGGAAAGCAAGGATCAGACTTTGTATAAAAAATCGTATTTCTTATTAAATGAAAATTCATGATTCGTAATTTCTTGATAAAAATATTCGTAATAATTGTTCATTTTGCCGAGACACAGATTCTGGTTCTGTTGGTGTATGAAAATGATTCTGATGCTAATTATTACATAATTATTTATGTTAATTCCTACGATGTAAAATGTTTAATATTTTACATTTTGTAAAATAGAAAACAGCTGATCAAGTTTTTTGAATGAATATTATAACAATATTTGAAGTTACAATTAATAAAGTAAATGACAGAGAATAATTGTTTCACTTATTAATTATTATTATTATTCTTGACTAATAAAAATTGAAAATTTAATAAATTTTCTTGGTATAAATACTACAGTTTATCAAGTTTATTGAAAAATAAACTCTCGTAATAAAATACGATATTAATTATTATAATAATAAACTATAATTTTTGCTGAAGTTTATAGATTTAGCACGAAAATGACCCTTCCAGTAATAAATTTTTTAAGAGTTATTTTTGCGTGTCAAATACGCAAGAGATCGAATACTGAATATGTCAGAGAATTTCCCATATGAAAAAGAAAAAAAAAATAAAAGAAAAAACCAGGAAGTAACGAGCGCAACGCGCGATGCTGTGTTTGTGCAAAATGTGCTTCTGATTTATTATATTGCATGTTAAACATGTTCGCTACTACTGTGTATGTACAGTTGAGATACATACGTGTCGATAATGATACGGCGATTCTATTTGATGTATTAACTTGTTCCTTGTTTGAACGTTATAATAATATGATAGAAGGTGTAGTTATATCACATATCGAAGTATATGGTGATATATTATAGCCATTCAATACACTTACCACTTATCAGTACAACACAGACAAGCTTATTTCAAATGGTGAATCCGTTATTCTGTATTTTCTTTCTACTAGTACTAATAGTGGCTATATAATAATTTACGATACAATTATATGATAAATTGCATGATTATATGAAATATACTTTAATAATTACGATTACAAGTGATATATATGCGATCTTGATTATGAAAGAAGATTACAACCAAAATTTATAAATATCTCTCAAGAGCGAAAGAAAAAATAATCTCGATTTATCGTCTAATTCCTCTTTGAAAGCAATTTCAACATCCATGCCTATCCATGTCGAATTGATGACATTTAAATATGTATCCATTATGGAAAAAGCCTAAGCGATTTTATTTTATTTTACTTTACTTTACTTTACTTTACTACCATATACATAAATCGAGATTATTGTCTTCAAACACGAAATATTATTCTTTTGTCAAATTTGTTCGACAACAAGTAAGATTAATACAGTTTTGTTTTCACACTACAGAAAATTTTATTTTAATTTATTTTATATATATTTATATATATATATATATATATATACATATGTGTATATGTGCGTGCGTGCGTGCGTGCGTGTTATATAGAAAGAACATCTTTTTTTATAATAACGACAGTGAAAATTAGTTATTATATTGATTGTGATGTAATAACAATCGGAAAAGAAAACTTATTTCGTAATGAAAAATGATATACTTGCAAATGCAATAAAAATAATCTCTTTATATGTATCTACTTTACTATAAAGTAACTTGCTACAGAACAAAACACGTGTGTGTGTGTGTGTGTGTGTGTGTGTGTGTGTGTGTGTGTGTGTGTGTGTGTGTGTGTGTGTGTGTGTACACATATATACACTTGTGAATATACATATATGTATTCATGCATTCGCATATATTTTTCAACGACTGTGTACTGTAAGTGTGAAAGTGTAACAATAGATAAATATATTTATTTACTCACAACGGCAAGATATTTGTGCAATCGATTTTTTACGTCATTTCCCTTATTTGGAAATTTTAGCTAGTAATAAGTAATAATACTTTTACCAATTTTTATCTCCGCACGTATGTTATAATTCTCCATATAACGTGCTCGACGTATCTGAGACATGTTTTGGAAAATATGAAACAGCAAATACATAAAGGTACATATGCCATACATCTCGAGATTATGTGTGTCTACATTATATCTTTACATATTGTAATGTAAAGAAAGAGTAATTAATTTAATTTATTAAAATAGCCAATGTATTTGTAACTTGGGTATTGATTGTATATATAAATATATATTTAATGCTGAAAAGTTTTGCGACAAATAATACTATATATTAATATTAAATTTTTAATGTCTTTATTCTTATAAATTGACACTGAAATTATGTTGATTACATACATATATTTGTGAACTGGTTTAAAGAATAAATACAATATTATGTATCTCTGAGTAATTAAAAATTATTTAAGCAGTGAAATCCGCCCTACTCTGTACATGCTGATCAATTGCATAATAAAATATGTATAAGATTGATTAAAAGAAAATTAGAGAAATTATTCGAATATGAATACAATAATAAGAGAAATCGAATTTCCAAGTATAATCGAATCGAACATCGATTAATTGATGCTCGTTAAGCCGATTGCTATGGCTGTGTTCAGCAGACGTGACAGTTGAGTGAGCACTTGTTATTGGTATATTTTTTTAGATCATTCAATCAGCATTTTAGATCTGAAAGAGTACATCAATAGCAGCGAGCGCTCACTCAATTATTGAATTCGCTGAACGCAGCCATTGAATTAGTCTTATTGCGATCGGTCTATTATTAATCGGCCAATAACCAATGAGCATCTTATGTAAATCATTGAGCGCGTTCAAGTTTACAAAGCGGCTAGCCTGCTTACCGAACAAATGAGCATAATTGGTTGTTACTTATAGATCCAATCAATTATATTTAATCGCTCGATAAGCATGCCTAACAGCTTTGCCGTCTTGAACTCGCCCAATATGGCGACATTGTGCTCGATGCTCATTGGTCCAACGGTCTCACGTTATGCTTATGCTCTGCATTTCATGTATCTCGAAGCCCTTAAGAAGAGCACAGACTTTTGCGTAAAGCATATAACATATAATGCATAAGAAAATAAACCAATCAAAGTTCTTTATTTCTTTCCTTCCGCTTAAGGCCGCAGCACACTTTTGCATAACGTATAACGCATAGCGGATAAGCGAATCAACTAAATAGGGTACATCCACACAAACTTGCATAAACGTATGCATAACAAATATTATCCAATCACGTTTTTACAAAAGAAATGTTATTGAATAATTTTCTTTATGCATACGTTTATGCGGCTATGCAAGTTTGTGTGGATATACTCTAATGAGCCTTCTACAATAAGCCATTAGTCATAAATCAGAAGTCAAAAGCTAAAAATTGACCAATCACAGTCGTCAATTTTTAACTTTTAACTTCTGATTTATGACTAATGGCTTATTGTAGAATGGTCATAAAGCGGGGAGCACAGACGAGACGAGCATGACGCATAATGCATAAGAAAATGAACTAATCAAAGTTTTTTATTTCCTTTCTTTCTGTGTATAAATAAAGGACTGTGATTGGTTGATTTTCTTATTAACTCGTGTTTTATGCCTTATGTAAGAGTCTGTGTTCGTCGTTTCTATGGCCATTCTACAATAAGCCATTAGAGTATACCCATACAAACTTACATAACCGCATAAACATATATATACATAAAAAAATTATCCAATCACATTTCTGTCATAAAGGCAAACGTAAAATACGATTGGATGATTTTCTTTATGCATATGTTTACGCTATGCAAGTTTAAGTGGAATGGCCCTTAGAATCTTTCCTTTTCTCCCATTCCATGAAAAAGAAGAATTTCGATTGATTGATTCCCTTATGCACTATGTATTATGCGTTATGCAAAAGTCTATGCTGCGGTCAATAATGTATTTTTATTATGCATTAAATAGAATGGATAAAAAATGTCGGACCAATCACAAATTGGGAGAAGGTGGCCAGACTGATGTAAGGGTTTCTATAGTCAGCATAGATTATAGATTTTCAGCACTGACGCAGTGAATATCGGAGGTCTGTTTTCTGTGGCTGAACTAGTGTACACTTTTAGAATTCAAAGTGAGATAAAAAAACGTTTCGTGGAGACACATTCACACTTTCATACACACACACACACACAAACATACACACATTCTCACACTCTTTCAGTTATACATCAACCATGCCTTATACAGGGTGTCCCATTCATCACCGGTCGATTTGAATTTTGCGCTATTTTTAAAACAATGCCGAATCTAAGATCGTGATACGCCTAAATAATTTGCACACCAATTCTTTCACCGTGTACTTTTCCATGATTAATTTCCCATCTGTCTAGATGACATATGTGAAGTTTGAGGTTAATCGGTTTGACGTTTTAAAAATAGCGCGAAATTCAAATCGACCGGTGATGAATGGGACACCCTGTACTCGTTAGACTCATACACTCCGCGACCAGATGGCGCGCTCTCACTAACACGATACCGAAATTCTCATCTAGACACTCTCTCTTGTTGATTCTTCTTCAACGCGCAGATAGTGAATAGTCTCGGTGAGTCTACCGACATGGTCGGATATGTTGTTGCGTCATTATTTTTAGAAAGTGTGATCCACTTCAAACGCGTAATTGAGTTTATGTTGCTCTTTTAGACTTTCGTATTCTGCATACTGTTTTTTGTTACTGCATAAGCGGCATTTTCGATTCTGGCCGTATCGACTTTGTGTTAGAATCGGGGCCATTTTCACATGAAGAAGAAGAAGAAGAACCGCGCAGATACACGAGACACATCGAGTTACGTTGTCGCGATATGATATTGTATGTGACAATAAATGAACGTTGTTATTTGTGAATCTGAGTTTTCTCCATTACCTACATTTATTATATGTAGCAATCCGCTACAATTTTATATTTACCGAAAGTGAGAAAAAGAGATCGAATGCAGTCTGTAGTGCAGGAATAGAAAACCAAATAGACTACGGAACACACCCAAAATGTATTTTGTGTGAAGTGGTGTGAGATAGGCAAACCAACTAGAGATTGATAGAAGAAGAAAAAAATGTGCTTATCAACTATGTACATACATACCAGAATATGTAAACAATTTTGTAGTCATTTTGATACTTTACCGAATGTAATCGGCTAAAAATGAAAATGTATAATTGAATGGAAATCAATATTAATTTGATAGAGTCGGAAATGAGTTCTATTCCAGAAATGAGGAACGATGATACACATTACGATACGACAAATTTTTACATCGGTTTAGGACTAGCAATTGCTTCTAGTGTTTTTATAGGTTAGTGATGTGATATATTAGTTTAGTGAATTTTATGTCAAGAATCAATATTTTACATTTAATTTGTACCAGTGGTAGTATTATTTAATTATCATGCTTTTGTAGAAAAAAAAGCTAAAAATATTAAAAAGATGTACAAAAATTAATTATTTCTTTGTCATTTTAATTTAGGTGCCAGTTTTATCATAAAAAAGAAGGCTTTAATTCAACTCCAAAAATACGGTGGACTGCGTGCATCGTCTGGTGGTTTCGGCTATTTAAAAGAATGGATGTGGTGGGCTGGTCTTTTATCTAGTACGTATAAATTTCAAAGACGTTCTAGACACAATTTTTTTATAACATTCATGTAAAAACATTTGAAATAAACATTACAGTGGGCATAGGAGAAGGAGCAAACTTTGTTGCGTATGCATTTGCACCAGCGTCACTTGTAACACCATTGGGCGCTTTAAGTGTTCTGATATCGGCAGTATTAGCATCTAGATATCTTAATGAAAAACTAAATCTTTTGGGAAAGGTGAAAACTACTTGTATAGGCAGAACATTAATATTGAAAATAATAATCTGTATATATCTATTCTCTATATACAGATACTATATTTTTATTGTTTTTTTCTTTTTTAGATGGGTTGCTTGTTATGTATTTTAGGTTCCACAGTAATAATATTACATTCACCGAAAGAAGAGGAGATCAGCAGTCTAAGCGAACTGATTATTAAAATAAGAGAACCAGGTTATATGTTATACGTTTTAATCGTAGTAATGTCTACCTTGTCCATCATCTTCCACTTTGGTCCAGCATATGGCAAGCAAAATATCTTGGTATATATTTGTTTGTGCTCATCTGTTGGCTCTTTGACCGTCATGAGTTGCAAAGGCTTGGGTTTGGCATTGAAGGAGACCATCTCTGGTGGAAAGAACGCATTTGCCAATTGGCTAACGTGGGTCTTTATATTTAGCGTTATCCTCTGCATCATGATACAGATGAATTATCTGAATAAATCACTGGACTTGTTCGACACATCTATCGTGACGCCAGTTTATTACGTCTTCTTTACAACTCTAGTGATAATAGCATCCGCAATTTTATTCAGGGAATGGACAAAGATGAGCATGGAAAATATTCTAGGTGCCTCTTGTGGCTTTCTTGTAGTTATAATTGCCATATTCTTATTAAACGCTTTTAAAGAAATGGATATACATTATGGCAATATCAGGCACATGTTGAGGCCCAAAAGAGAAATGCTTTCGAGTTATAATTCAAGATGGGACGATCAAGGGGGAGCGAACACTAGAGTGGAAGCTCAGCACTTGCTTAATCACACTTATGTGAATTCAGATCTCAGTAGGACTGTCTAAAAATTATATTTATGGGAACGCATGTAACCTGTTCCATTAAAAAAATTTGTATAGCAAAATCAAGAGGCAGATTTAAGAAAAAAATTTATTGTTTATTGATTATTTATTGTAATATTCACAACTAATTATGTAATTGTAAATACGCTTTGTATTATTGCTGATGAAAGCAATAAAATACATATTTTCAGCGTGTCTCAAAGTCCACATACAATATACGATATCCCGATCTATTTCCAAATAAAAAAAGATAGTTTGTAAATTGAGAAATCTGTTCTTTTTGAAAAGAACAGATTCCTAGTAAATAAAATGTTGACAGCGTGACAATAGTTGCCAGATTTGAATGAGAATTAAAAGATCATATCTTACCACAGTTGAAAAATCAAGAAACAGAAATCTAACGAAATCTTTTAACAAAATGTGTCATTTGATTAATCAAATGATTCGTTTCATATTAAATATTTGGAAAATAATATATAACTTGTGTTGGCGATTTTCGCAGTCAATCTGCCATCATATATGTTATCGGCAAAATTTTATATTTCTACAAACATTTTACCAGTAAATTAAAATTTGTAACACACAGCTGTGTGTTACACATCGCGAGATAAGTTTTGAAATTGGCTGCTTGGAATGACTGACGATTAAATCCATGTAAGACAATAAGACAAACATAAGGAAAAAACGAGCTAGCATTATGAAATCTAATCTATATAGTTTGAAATATCGATTAAAATGATTGATCGATAACGACAGAATGCAAATAAAAAGTCGTAGCGTAAGTATTTTTATTTTCGTATTTTCGTATCAGATAATGCGAGCGTATCACGTGATCCACTTGATATCCGGACTTGTCGCGATTCGTTCGTTGGTGCCGTTGGTGGCTTTCGTGGGCTTTTGTCCATACGTGCAGAATGGCATTCAACTTAGCTGCTTTTTCATATATTGTGGCGTTAATCGGCGACGCGTTTCTAATATTTTTCGCGATATTTCACGTATGTCTCTCATAGGAAATGTTCGCGCGGTAATTCACGGTAGTGAGAATCCGCGAGACATTTCGATATATATATATATACATATATATATATATACACATATATATATATAAATTTTGATATAACCTTATTACGACTAACAATATATCGTGATAATGTATTATCATTATGTATTATCATTATGTATGATTAATAATTTTTATTAAACTTTTTAGGTAATCACGTTCGATGAGTTAAAGACTGGATACAAAAATCCGATCGATCAATGTAATAATTTAAATCCGGTAAGACATGCGTTTACTGGATGTTAATAATACATTTAGACAGCCAAATTTATCAAGACACATTTTGCAGCGTCTGTTATAAATTTCATCAGTGGAATGCCAGCAGAAATAGAATCTATAAGCAGGGACAGCAAATTAATTATAGAACCTCAGCAAAGTGTACATTTTGTAATCATTTGAGTAATATATACCAATTGAATGATTGTTACCAGATCGATTCCGTTCAGTCTTCTTACTACGTTGATAGACTTTCTCGATGGATTTAAACTAGATGCGATTGATGCCAATATTTTATATAAATCTGCTGGCAAACTACTATAATGCGCTGCTAATGTTTTGTTTACAAAGACATTACTTGTCACAGATTCTTTAATTATTACATATCTTGATTTCAGCTTGTTCTACCAGAGTATATACTGCACGTTGTGATCAATCTTTTATTTTTGATTAGCGAGCAATACTTTTCGCTGTTTATCAATATCCCACTCATAGCTTATCATGTATGGAGATACATGAACAGGCCTCTGATGACAGAATCAGGCCTATATGATCCTACAAGCATAATGAATGCTTATGACTTGTCCATGTACCATAGAGAAGGATGGATTAAACTAGCCTTTTACCTTTTGTCGTTTTTTTATTACTTATATGGGTAAGCTCTCTTATTCGTTCACTTTGATACCTTATATCTACCTTACATCTTTATTTAATATAGTTCTCTTCTTGCTCTAATATATGTGTATATATATATATATATATATATATATATATATATATAAAATTCATATATTCTAGAATGATCAGCTCATTGATCAATTGAAATGAGCAACCATTGTAAAGATTTTCCATTTTTTCTGCAACTGTTTGATGCAATGGTTGCTTATGCTGGAGATACAAGTTATTTTCAACCAATTTGTAATAATGGGAGTTTTGTAACAAGTATTATGGAGAAAGATTCTTTGACATCTGTCTAACATATAGGTAAACTTTATAATACACACACACACACACACACACGCGCGCGCGCGCGCGCATGATTTAGACTACATTAGACATTTTTCTGGAGTATGTCACTATATATACTTTAAGCAAGATATTATTTATATAGGTATGAAATAAAAAAGATTTTGAGTCAAATCAAATATTATAAATATTATTGTGCTTTTGTCAGATATACAAAGCTGAATATTTCCAAACAAATAAACATTAATACTGTCAGTATTTCGAAAAAAATATCTGTGTATTGTTTACAAACTCGATTTCAACGGAATAAATAATTTAATAGCTTTTGATACCTTTGTATGTAAAGCATTCTTTTCTTTCATGTGTATAATAAAGCATATATTTAATTTAACTTTTATATGTACTATGATACAAAAGTACCATAGTTGTTAATAAAAATGAAATAAATAATATATAACTAATATGTACAAACTCTTAATATTTTTTAACTTGTGTTACAATTTTTGTGCCATTATAATTTTTTTATGTAATAAACTATGATCTTTACGAACATGTATGTGTATATATATATCATTTACAATTCATTTAAATAAAAAAAGAAACTCTTGTCCGAGAGTCAATTTCTAATGCGCATTGAACTCCGCGCAAGCTAACCTGCAACGGGAAAACTGCGGAAACTGTAAATTGTAATTTTTCTTACATTTTTCACAAGATAAATATGTTTTCTTCGAGAGAAAATAAAAGCGAGATATGTTAGCTAATGAATAAATTTATATCAGATATTATTTTTCTTGACTCACATGTCGATACTGCTGTAAACCTATACGCGGATTTACACGCCTCTTCCCATTTCCAACAATTCCAGCATTGCTTGTATCTGCTGATGTCACATAACCGGTAAGACTACTCATTTTGATGTATGTGACAACTTTTCAATACAATTAAAGCAATTTGGTGTAAATAGGATTATTAAATCAAACCAAAAAGCTATACTAATTGTTTCGGAATAAAGTAATTTGATGGAAATTTATTTTGGTAATATTACCTAACCTAAAAGTTTATTGTGACTTTTAATTACAAATAACTTAATTAGATTCGTGATATTACAGTGAAAAAAAGATATCAAAGACTTATTTGTTTATCCTGAGATCGTTGTAGCATAAAGATGCCAACTATTGGAATAAGACGTGACTTTCTATTTGAAGCATTAGGCCAAACATATTGTAAGTTTTATATATTATGTGTGTGTGTGTGTGTGTGTGCGCGCGCGCGCGCGCGCGTTTTTACTGATGTTATCATAGTATTAGTAAAGTTAGTTTATGTATTATAAATATTTTAATCTTTAATAAACTTTTAAACCTTGCTTTAGCTGACAATGAGTTCCAAATGTTATGCTTCAAATTTGGTTTAGAGCTAGATGAAGTGGTAAGTGTTGAATTATCTTAACAATTTGTATATTTTACTTTATAATAATTACTTGATCTTTTGCAAATAGACAACGGAGAAACAAATGTTAGCAAAGGAACAAGGTTTTGATCAAGGTACAATAGATGCCTCTGAAGAGATTATCTACAAAATTGATATACCTGCTAATAGATATGATCTTTTGTGCTTAGAAAGCCTAACTACTGGACTGCTTGTATTCTTGAACAAGTAAATGCTGCACTATATGCTCTTGTAGTTTAAATAACAAAAATTTCATTTTTCAAGTATTATATTTCAAAGTATAAGTTTTATTTTCTTAAATAGGATATCCATACCATATTACAAGGCAATCAAACCAAATGTAGGAATGGAAAGGATAGTGATGAGCCCAGAGGTAGTATAGAATAATTATGAAAAGAAAATTTTACATTATACATGCACTTATTTAGCACTAAATTATCTATCTCGTTATTCTTTAGTGCTTAAAAGTAAGAGGGCATATAGTTGCTGCAATTTTGAGAGATGTTACTTTAACGCAAGAATCTTATAATAGTTTTATCGATCTTCAAGATAAACTGCATCAGAATATAGGAAGAAAACGTAGTCTAGTTTCTATTGGAACTCATGACCTGGATACGGTTAAAGGTCCGTTTCTATATGATGCTAGATCACCATCGAAGATACGTTTTAAACCGCTTTATCAGGAAAAAGAATATACAGGAGAAGAAATTATACAATTGTATGCAGTAAGTATGCAGTTCCTCTCATCCATATTTGTTAATTCCATAAATAGTTTCACATATAAAGAAAGAAACCTCATATCTATATATTTGTTGTATTGTATTTTTCCAGACACACGCGCAGCTCAAACAATATTTACCCATTATAAAAGATAGTCCTGTTTATCCCGTGGTGTATGATAGTAATGGTATTGTTTTATCTCTCCCTCCTATTATCAATGGGGATCATTCGAAGATCACACTTGATACAAAGAATATTTTTATTGAATGTACAGCAACTGATATTACAAAGGTATGTACATTTGTATGTTGCATAATGCTACTCTACACATTGTATGTATGTATATATATATTTCTAATGCACGCAAGTACTATTTAAAAGTAATAATTTAAAATTATAAGATATCAATAATTAATGTTATTAATTGATATATGAAATATTACATGTAATTTTATTACAAATTCTTACAAATTATACATTATCTGTAGGCAAGGATAGTGTTGGACACGATAGTCTGTGCTTTCAGTCAGTATTGCAATACAAAATATACAGCCGAAATTGTGGAAGTAGTATATCCCGATAATCAAACTTTCTATTATCCAGAATTAAAATATCGAACAGAAGAAATCAACTACAATAAAGCGATTAATTACATTGGTATTAAGTACGTAATTGAATCTTGCGTTGCATATGTAATAATGATTGTAAACGTAACTATATAGTTATTTAAAATATCTCTCTCTCTCTCTCTCTCTCACTCTCTCTCTCTCGCCCTCTAGACAGACTCCAGATCAAGTTGCTGAGTTGTTGTCAAAAATGTCTCTAAAATCCGAGATGAAAGATAAGGATACATTAATGGTAAAAATTCCACCAACAAGACATGATGTGATACATCCTTGCGATATTTATGAAGATATCGCTATCGCTTACGGATATAACGAAATAGAAAAAACTATACCAAATATATCGACAGTCGCGGCAGAAGTAAATATTCTATAAACTCTGAATATAATTTCATGTATCGATGCCACATGTATCGTACAAATATGTGAATTGCAGTTTCCACTCAACAAACTTACCGACCAAATACGGGTAGAATTAGCTCAAGCGGGATTCACCGAAGCACTGACTTTCTCACTGGTATGTTTCGAAAAAGTTTGTTCATGTTTAACAATATGTATGCATATATATGTGTGTATATATATTTTTTTTTCAGTGGATTCTAAAATTTGCATTTAATTATTTTATAGTGTTCGCGTGAAGATATAGCGGACAAATTAGGATACAAGATAGAGGATGTACCAGCAGTTCATATATCCAATCCAAAAACTTTGGAGTTTCAGGTAAACCGAAAATATTAAAAAAAAAAAGAGGAAGATGTTAAAAGTATTAAGAGAATATTAAAAATATAAAACCTTGACTGTAACCGTTGAAACGAACTGAAATATAAAATAATTTCGATTGTAATATCGTTCGAACTGAAATATGTAAAATAGCAGCTCTTAATAACTAAAAAAAAATAATAATTTGTTGCAGGTTGCGCGTACCTCACTTTTACCGGGATTACTTAAAACAATATCGGCAAATAAAAGGATGCCTTTGCCTCATAAACTGTTTGAAATTTCCGACGTTGTATTGCGAGACGACACGGCGGAAGTCGGTGCGCGCAACAATCGCCGTTTATGCGCAGTATATGCTAATAAATCGGCTGGTTTCGAGATAATTCATGGTTTGGTAGATAGAGTGCTATTACTATTAGAGATACCCTGGAGCGCTAACAAGGATAAAAGTGGATATTATCTGCGTGCAGCTGATGGTAAGATACATGGTGTTTGGAATGTATCCGCGTTTGATCAAATAACTATACGAATTTTATACTCGTATAGAATATTCGATTTACGCAATAAAACGACAAAAGAATTTATATTTTGTATTTTGCAGACCCAACGTTTTTCCCTCAACGATGTGCCGAAATTGTCTGTTATGGTGAAGCGATTGGAAAAATGGGAGTTTTACATCCCGATGTACTCTCAAAGTTTGAATTAAATATTCCATGTTCTGCGATGGAAATAAACATTGAACCGTTTTTGTAATAAAAATAAATAGTGTGCAAATAGCAAAGTTAAAGTAAGGCTTCCATCATTCAGAGTTGAATTGACATTTCTTCAACAGAGAGAACTTGTGCTTATTTATAATAATTGAAACATAAAATTTTCTTCAAACACTTGCAAAAAGTGGTTTTTCAAATAAAATACAAAATATATTTATTACAAGATGAACATGTTTTGAACAGTGAGTTAGCTACGTAAGCATTAGGTTAATCTTTCTGCATGTGTACTCTCGTATCTTTTGAAAATTAAGGAAAATTTAAAAAAAATTTAAATTACAAAAATATATAAAGGAAATTCGATTTTTTACAAATGAACGCTTGAAAAATATCGCAACCTGTTGTAATTATTTGGTCTCTTTTGTCTACTTGAAATCAATCTAGGATGCTGTATCTAGATAAGAAATAAAAGTTTATATTTGCTAGAATTGTATTCAACTTTAATTTTTTTAATTCAAATTTAAAATTAATATTGAATTATTGAAAAATTAATTAGTGTCCACTTATTATTATTATTATTATTATTATTATTATTATTTTGTTTAATGAAGCTGATATTTTCATCATTTTCAAGTATATCCTCTCTGTCTCTCTCTAAACGTAAAATTATGTAAAAACTACCAATACGTTCTTTAATGGTTCAAACAGATATTTTCTACTTGGAAACTTGATTTTTTTTTTTTCGACGCTGTTGACGGCGAATCATCCGATTCGAAGAATAAACAGATGAAGAGACACGGCGAGTGGAGGTATCTGTGCGCAATCGAAGTTGGGCGCCACACGACACGCGTGGCAGTGTAGGGCAGGTAGAGCTGCGTTTGGAAACGTCAGCCGGATATTCAAGTTTAATGTTTATCATCCTATCTTTGTTTAGAGGCGTGTTCAGATTCCTACCTGGGTGCTCACCAGGTATCATGTCATCCTTATCTAATGTATGATAAATAACAAGAACGGA